GAGCTTCATTATCAATCCTTCCAATGAGCAGTCAGGGTTGATTTCCTTTAAAATTGACTAGAAGAGCATTAAACGTGTTTTCAAATACATAGTTTGCCATGTTTTGAAAGAGCAATAGACCCGTGTTTAAAAAACAAGACTGTCTACACAAAAGGTTGATCTAAACCAGGAATATGAGTCTTATGTATGTTGCCAGATTTATCCCAAATGAAAGCATTACAGATTTTAAAGTGTTTCTGCCAATTTCAATCCTTCCAGCCCAAGTGACAGACGACAGTGTCAGCAGAGGAGTGCTATAAAAAGTGGGAATGCCTCCAAAGCCCCATGAAACTCTTCTGCCACACTTGGGGTTTGTCACTTGTGTCACTTGTTTGTCACAAGTCTAGCAAATAAGTTGATGTGCCATGTGATTTTCTTCCTGCTTCAGCACTCCTCCTCCACTCTACCAGACTATCAGCCCTGCTATTTTTGGACATGGTCTTCCAGACAATTGACAGAACTATATTCCTAAATAACCTGCTCAGTTACCAGAACAGACCACTTCCATGCAAGTGAATGTCACTTAGGAAATTGGAAAACTGGCTAACGCCTCCATTCCAGGGACCTGCCCACATTCACCCAACCCCTCTCTACCACATGTTAAGGGAAGTAATTAGTGGCAGTTTTTCTCACTGGCAAATGATGGTGGGAAGGGGAATGAAGGTAGGGGAATCAACCAATCACAGCCTTAAATTGTCTGCCAATTCAAGAACCTGAGGAATGCACATTATCACAGCCACAAGGAATACTTTGTTTTGCTAGTAACATTTGAATTATAAGGTGATAGGTAAGAAAAAAAAAATCAAAGGAAGAGTTGCAGAAAATACTTTTATTTATTCCCATGTTTAATATTTTTGTTTACCACTTTCTACTATTTCAGAGCTTGAAACTGTCTTCACATTACAAATGTAAAAAAATAACATACTCAATTTAAAAAGTGGGAGGGGGAATAAAAAGAAGAAAAGCATAAAAGGAAGGCCTGGATGGAGACCTGCATTTAACCGAGGCCTAAAAGATGGCATTGGTTCCTTAGAAATTTTCTAAGGGAAAAGCATTCTGAGTGACCACAAGATGGCAGTTTGCAATTGTCACCAGACCGAAATAGAACCTCTTCAGGTAATCTTAGCAATCTACCTGGGACAATCTGTCAGGTCTCCTGGTTTCAAATTATTTAAGGCCCTAAATATTGAAATCAACAGCTTGACCTGGCTTGGTAGCTAATTGACAGCTATTCTATACATTAGATTAATAGAACTATTTCACTTTTTAAACTTGCCAATAAACATTCTATTTATTTTTAATTAATAGCATTTCACACATGCTTAAAATCAGAGAATACTATCAGGTAAAGGAAAACTCTAATGTCTATAGTCTGAATACTATTGACTTTTATCCATTTCCTTCAAAATCAAAAATCATTTTATAGACACAACAATTAACTGCACTGATTTTCCTTAATTATAACATAATTTACAGAAGAGTTGGAATTACTGTATTATATATTTTGGTGTTGGTGATTCTATAACCAGTATACTGTTTGTTTTTTTTGCTAATGTATTTTAGAATTGGGCACCAATCCATTGAAAAGTTCAGGGATTGAAAATGGAGCCTTTCAAGGGATGAAGAAGCTCTCCTACATCCGTATTTCAGACACAAATATAACTACTATTCCTAAAGGTAAAATCACTGTTTTTAGAGGTTATGTGGAACATCAGCACTATATCTATATTTATATTTCAATGTTTGCTGTTGTTTTAAAATAACATATAAAATAAAAGGTGTCTGAGTATAAAGAATACATCATGTGAGAAAATCTCAGTGTTCTGAAATTAGGACAAAATGCATTTGAATCTTAGTAGTAATTTAAATTGATATTTGGATATTTTCTATTGTCAATTTAAAAGAAGGGTTTTCTTGCAAAACAATGGCTAGTAATGTAAAAGACATATATGTTCATCCTTTTATTTTCCTAATGTTTGAGTTTATTGTTATCTTTGTACAACCTTTTTTTCTCCTCCTATCAAGAAGTGGTTGCCATTTATCACTATGGCAGGAGATGAAGGAATGAATAGAAACATTGATGCAGAAAATGCTTCCATGCCTAGTAAATAAAGTAGCCCAGCTGAAAGACTGGAATTCCATAGGAGGGATGTGTGCAATGAGAACATAGGCTTCTTGACAGCTTCGCTGAATCTTGCAATATATGCATTTCCAGTCTATGTGTATTTGTTGTGAGTACATAACTTGCAGATCCAATTCTAAATGGAGTAGGGGGGAAAGGAAGTTGCTAAATTGGTTTTCAACTCTTTCTCACAGAATTATTTATTAAATGGGTTTGTTACTGCAAGAGTCAAAACTCATAGCCAGATTTATAGCTTACTGGGAGAGGAATAAATATAATTTCAGTCCAATTTCAGTCTCTCAACTTCAGCGTTTCTTGCTAACAAATCTCAAGAAGCAGGATTGCAACTGACTCAGTATACCATATCAGTATACTATATATCCCACATACACATTCAGACATAGGAAACTAAGTTTCCTGTTTTTGGCAGAGTAACAACAATACTAACAATTATGAACTAGAGAGAAGCAAAATGTGGTTTCAGGTTTTACTAAAAGATAAGTTGAGCATGCCTTCAGGACCATCTATTGCACAGTGTTGTCCTGAATATTATATTCAAGATAGCATATACTGTATTTAGTCTTTAGTGTTTATCAAGATGATTTGTACTTTTGTAGCTCCATATGTTGGTTCTTCACTTGGTATATGATGTAAGACTTGACACAGCAAACTAATTAAACATTCAAGCAAATTAAGTGTTCTAAGATTGAGGCAATACTTTTCAAAATTCTCTCTTAACAGCAGAAAATATGAGAGAATCCTTTCAGATCTTAACAAGAATATATGTTAACTGCAGTAAAGACATGAAGAGCCATCCCAAAAATCAGTTATACTTCTGACTGTAATTTCTCAACATGTTTTAAGTGGAAAAGGCCATTGGATTTCAGCAGATCCTCCTTTTTGCATGACTGCGTAATCATAAGAACTGGCAGGTCAGCTTAAGGAAAATTTGTATTTAAGAGAAAAGGGCTGTGATGGAGTGTGAGAGTGACCTTGGAAGATGGTGGGGGAAGGGGGAAGAGATACTGCCTAGGGAATGATCAGATAAAAGAGAAAGGAGCCCGCAACAGAGTAATGGACAGAAAAAGAAACTTAGGAAGGACCCACCCTAACTACTCAGGTGATAAATAGGGAGAGTGGGAGATTAATACTTTCAGACTTGCAAGATTCTGTTAATGTAGCCTTACAATAAAGTAGAATTAGCTCATCTAGTCATGTTTCCTGTCTGGTTTACCTGGGAGGGCTGACAGGGGCAGAATGACTCAGTGCCAACAGTATATTAAAGTGGTGTCAATTAAAGAGCAAAAATGATTTATGCATCAGTGCTACATGATGCATAAATTCAAAATATAATGTTGCCTAGGAATTTTGCAGTTGTATGAAACATATATAAACACAAATATTTTTTAAAAAATTCTAGGTCTTCCTGTGTCTCTGACAGAACTTCATCTTGATGGAAACAAAATCACCAAACTTGAAGCAGATAGTTTAAGTGACCTTCCCAATTTGGCTAAGTATGCTTTTTAATATATATATATATATAAACATATTAAGGCAGATCTCATTTTGTAACAGGCTCTTTTAGTTTTGATCATGCCTAACATATTTGCAGAGAAAATTAGAAATACAGAAGAACAGCAGTATTCAAATTACTGTAGAAAACAGAGATTTTATAATACCCTAAAATACCACATGAACTAGTTTTCTAATTGTGAACAGTTATCCTTCATTATTTTAATACCTTTATCAGGATAGGCTAAAATCAATAAATGAATACTTTTTTTAAAAAATGTGTAAATTAGAAAGTATTTAAGGGTAAAATTGCAGAGCTATTTTGCTCTTTATTTACCTGAATATGTAAAAAATGACCTGAGGGTGAGGGTGGGGGTGGGATCTTAAGTGATGCTATGGAGGCTTCTGTAAGGCTTAAAATACTTACTCTATCTGTTAAACTGTTCCTCCAAAAGACAGTCAAAATATTATGTCTGTGCCTACTCTGAGGTGGATTATAGAGCACAAATGAGGTTCTGGAGGGGTCACATGCAGCCCACAAAAAGCCCACCCTGCTATAACGCATTAGTTTTTAAAAATATATTCCTTTTGCTGAGACACACTGCATCTGGGTTCTGTGGAATAAATGTTTTTGTATATAGTAACTTGTAGCATAGTAAAAAATACATATAATACAGAATAAGATCGCAACAAATCAAGATGTTAAATTATGTTTAATGAACACACAGGAACAAACTTTTACCTCAGCAGAGTTGGCACAATATTTTTCTCCTCATAGGCTTGGCCTCAGTTACAATCACATTGCTAGTGTGGATAATGGATCTTTAGCCAGAGTGCCACATTTGAGAGAACTCCATTTAGACAACAATGATCTTGCCAAAGTACCTGCTGGACTAGGAGAACACAAATACATACAGGTAAAGTATATCATAAGGAGAGTAATGAGAAATATTGTTAAACTCACAGAGAAAATACAGTATATTGGAGTGGTACCTAGGCCCAAGAAAGACATGTAGTAAGGAAAAATGCAGCATTTTTCTTCAGAATGACAGGCTGAGGAATTGTCATTTTAATAATGTGACATGATGGTGCATTGATGGTGGAAAGCAGTGGACTGAAGATGGCAAATACAACAACCAACCTGAAAGAAAATAAGTCGGGGTCCATGATAAGTATTTAGATGGGAGTTCCCACAGGAACCTTAAGCCCAGAGTTTATTCACAGAATGAAGCAAATAAACATGCAATAATATCTATATATTGAATTTATAAAGATAACATAAAATATTAATTGCCTGAATGCAACACATAATACTTAGCTATTGCAATAAATTAATCTTGATCCTAAATCTGTCATATTTTCCAAAAATGTTTTTTTCTTACAAAAGTTTCCATTTTTCTATCTCATACTCAGTATATTTTAGATTTCCTTTCTTTTTTTTTTTTTAAGTTTGTGTTTTTGAGC